TTCCACCCTGCTTGCTCCAAGGCGTAGCCGCAGGGTTTCTCACGTTGTAGCCTCTGGGCCCAAGGGCAACAGCACTCCCTGGGGTGGGAGCCGGTCAAGGGCACTCATGCCTGCTGTCATCACAGCCCAGACCCACATGATCTCCCTCTGGGGGGGGGGGGGGGGGGGCGCTGGATGTCTGCATCTAACATGCTCCCTGGGAGAGTCTTATGGCCCCTGAAGTTAGGGATTTCCCTCGAACGGGGCCTTCTGAGGTCATCTGGGGAGAATGCAGGCTCAGGGTTCTCAATCTGGCTCACCGCAAGTCCGGAAGTCTGCTGGGAGCTGAAACACCTTGATGCCTCTTCAAAGTCAAGGCCAGCCTTGGGGAGTAGGAGCTTGGTGCAACCACCAGGTGACCCTCTCTGCAGCACTGTAGACCCAGGCTCCGTTATGGTCAAGCTTAGGGCTCCCTGCCCCGCCCCTCCCGGATGTTTCCTTTGCCTCTTCCTTCCAGACATGGGGGATCAGGCAGGGCCCTCCAAAGGGTCAGCCCAGACATGGCCCCCAGTGCAGACCCTTGGAGGGGTGGGGCAGGGCACCCTAAGCTTGACCACAACCAAGGCTGGCCAACCCCCAGACCCGCGAATCAGTATCGGAGGCGGGCCCAGGAACTGGTATTTTAAAAAACCTCCCCGGGTGATTGTGAAACCCTCAGGATGAGAGTTAGAGGCTGTGAACGGTCAGCTCTGCCCTCCCCGCCCCCGCCCCCCACGGGGTGGTCGATGCCCAAGTCATGTCTGGAGGGTCTCCTGTCGAGGTAAAGCCCCTCTTGTCTCCACCAGGCTCACAGGCTGAATGCACCGAGCTTCTCCCCCTTTGTGGGGACAAAGTGGAGGGGAAGAGAGCCCAGGGGATGGTCCGTGGGAGCTGGGGAAACAAGGCCCGGCTCTGAGTGTCATTTCCTCCCCGGAGTCACCTTCGACTACTAGAAAAATGGGTCTCACACTCATTCCCCCTCCTCATGTTAAAGGAAGATGCTGAGGGCAGAAAGCCCCTGGCGGAGACATACATTAATCCATAAAGTCATTCAAGGGCACAACAGCCCCTGAGAACAGGGGCCAGGTTCAGAGGTCTGCGGGTTTGGGAGAAGGTGACAAGACAAAAACCAGATCAGAGCCCCCAACAAGGCTAGTGATGAAACTTTAATGACTGGGGAAGGGTGCTCTTGGCACCACTTTTTGGGGTCACTAAAGCGTTTGTCTGAACTACCCCTATTGGCTCTGCAAAACACAGCACGTGCACGCGGAGAAGGGGTGAAGCCAGGCCGCGCCCACGGGGCTTGGGGGGCAAAGGCAGGGCTGGGAGGGCAGAGGCTGGGCCTGGACTGGACAAGGGCAAGGCTGCCGTGGGGTCTTTTGGGGCCTGCCACCCCCCAGGTGTCTGCTGGGTGCAACCCTGCCTTCAACGAGCAGGTGAGCATGGGGGTGGGGGGTCGGAGGGTGTCACAGTCGGCTTACACCAGGCACCTCTCAAGGGTCCTCTTCCATTCCCGCGAGTGCTGACGGGCCTCCCAGAAGCTGGGGTCATTAGTGGAGGCGGCTGACAGAAATGGTACTTGAATACAGGCCACCTTCCCTCCTCCTGCCACCTCCAAGGCTGCCTTCCCTCCGGCCCTGTAATGACGTGACATCTAAACGCTGAGAACAACGAAGGAGAAGCCAAAGAAACTGCTCCCGGCTGTTTCCTTTGCCAAAAGGTGTCATTGGCACGGCTGGGTGGGAAGTGCCCGAGACCCCCAGGCTCCCCGACACCTCAGTGCTCCCCAGGAGATGAGAGCAGGGCCGGGCAGCTGCCAGCCTCACACCTCAGCCTGGCTGGCTGCCTGACACCGCAGACGTCCTCGGGGCCCCGGGACAGATGAGCAGAAACGGGGCATCCTAGCCACCAACTAGCGCTTGTGCGCGCGAGCGCACGACGCTGGCCAAGCCGAGTCCGGTCCCCCGGACACCTTCTCCCCAGGCCCCAGAGGAGCTCAGAGCTCAGGGTCCTGGAGAAGCAGCAACGGTTCCTCAGGGAAGGATGTCAGGAGATTTGCAAACAAGACAAAACTCACCCGTACCAGCCTGCAGGAAAATGTGCTCAAAGCCTCCCCCAAGGAGTGTGGTTGACCCCCTCTAGTTTTCTTTTCCCTTCCTGCTTCCTCCCTTCCTCCCTTCCTCCCTCGCTCCTCTTCTTTTTTCTCTCTCTTCTTCCTTCAACTTCTAACTATTTGGAACAACTTCTTTTAGAGGTCATTTAAAATCTACCAACATTGAAATCACACATGCCCTTGAACTCAGCAGTTCGGTGCTGGTGCTGTCCCTCTTGCTCCTGCCGGTGGGCACCGGGTCAAACTGAGCACAAGGACCCACCGTGCCCCTGGGATGAGAGACCCACAGGTCGGGCAGGAGGGGATGGGGCAAGTCCGTGACAGTGCCTCCGAGCAAGAGAAGGCTGAGCAGCTGTTAGAGAGAAGGCGGCGAGCTCTACAGCCAGGGGGGTTGGCTCTCCAAATACATGAGGTCACAGAGGAAAGGCCTGAGTATGAAGACTATGTTACTCCTCGGGTAAAAATAAAAAAGTGGGGGTGGGAAGGGGATTAAGCAGCATGGCAGTGTTTTCTTTCTTAAAAATAGATCTGAAATAAATACTGTAAACTGTCAGCTTTTGTCAAATCTGGGCGGTGAGTTCAGTTACTGTTACCGTTTTCTGTTTCAAACCTTGTTTGAAATATTTAATAAAATAACGAAACGGGGCAGGGGAGAGAGGGATAGGTGGCACACAGAGGATTTCTAGGGCAGGGAAAATACTCTGTGTGATATTATAATGACGGATACGTCATTGCATATTTGTCCAAACCCACAGAATGTCCAACACCAAAAGTGAACCCCAAGGCAAACTATGGACTTTGGATCATTACAGTGGGTCCCTGTAGGTTTATCCTTGGTTAAAAAAAAAAAAAAAAAAAAGTACCATTCTGGTGAGAGATGTTGACGACGGGGGAGGCTGTGCATGCATGGAGTAAGGAGTATGTGGGAAATCTCTGTATCTTCCCCTCGATTTTGTTGGAAACCTAAAACTGCTCTGAAACAAGTCTTTTCAAAGAATTAACAAAATTTGAGCGGGGAGATATCTTACAGAAATGCGTTTATTCTTGTAAATAATGGTCTAACATCTTCGTGGTGCTCCTCTGGGCCGGGCCTATGTTAACTCGGTGAATTCTTGCAACAACCCCGTGGGGTAGGTCTCTTATGATCCCCCTCTACAGAGGGGAAACGGAGGCTTGAGAAGTACCGTGTATCGCTTGAAGCACAGAGCACTGGGGAAGTCAGAATTTGAACCCAGGCAGCCTGGCCGCAAAGTCTGAGCTCACAACCCCCAAGCCTCACTGAATGATTCAGCCCAGGAGGGGCCCGGGAAGATTAGAGTCAGGGATTCCGGAGGAAGTGTACTTTTTTACTGCACACCGGTTCTGTACTATTTGAATCTTTTAACATGTGCACAGGTCACGATTTTTCAAAATGGCATTTTAAATAAATCCCAGTTCCTAAGAAATCACCGAATCCTGGCGGGCGTGGGGCTGCGAGAGGTGGTGTGGAACCCCCTCTCTGAGGCTGGGGGAACACTCTACAGTCCCTGCAGGGAGACTCCGCGCGTGGACCCAATCCCTGGTTCCTTTCCACCTTGCAGCAATTCTAGCCCCGGGTCCCTGCTCAGCACCCTGCCTTTCCTTTCTTCCCACAGACTCCGCCCCCTGGCCACCGGGGTTGGACATGTGACCCGAGGTGGGCCATAGTGATTGGCCCAGGAGTGGGTACCGGATCTAAGCCCAGCCAATCAGAATCCTGCCCTGGACGATCCCTAGCAGAAGATCTTTTTCCAGCCGGTCGTGGGGCTCGGAGGGCCTGCAAGCCCCACAGCGTGACCAGGCCTGTCGAGGTAGAAGTCTAAACCGAGAGAGGGAGGGGCAGGACCCAGCGCCTGTCGGCTTCATCCCCACCCTGGCTCCCTGCCTGCCTTAGTTACATTCCCATCAGTTTCAGTTGGATGCCGACTGATAGAAGCCCACAGCTCAAAACAAGGGAAGCCCTGATCCAGTGGTTACAGGGGTCCGGGCAGACTAGAATCCCAGCTTGGCCACCTGCCGTGTGATCTCTAGCGAATTAGTTAACCTCTCTGAGCCTGGCGCTCTCCCTGAGTTCACTCTCAAAAAGTGACTCCTTACCAGCCACGTTAAACCAAACCCAGAGGCTCTGGAAGACGAGATGCTACGCAGCAGAGAGCCAGGCAGCTGGCCGCTCCTTCATGTGTCCCTCTCTGCCCAGAAAGAACGTCCCTGTGGCCCTCAACAGCTCCCTCGCCTTGTGGCTCCCTCTGGCTCCCAGGGGCTTCAGCCAATAGTGTCTCGAAAGGATGCGGGGCAGGAAGGAGTGAGGCCAGGCGATGGATTTCTCTGTAGGGTCCCCACAGGCTGGCCGCGTCCCCGAGTGACGGCCCCACGGCTCTGTCTGAAGGTGACTCCCACCCTCTCTGCTCCACTGCGGGGGCGGGAGGGGCCCCACATAGCGCTCGCCCTGGATTCTGCACTCTTCCCGGAGGCTTGGCCCACACTTTGTAAATATTCCCTCAGATTACCCCGTTGGAGATTGTGTCATGTTTTCCACGGGACCCCCACTGGTTGACAGTGGTCCTCTTCCTAGTCTCCCTAGGCTCTCATCGGACGAAGTCGTGCTCTGTGCAGGACGCTGCTCCGGGGCCCCAACTCTGGCCACTGTCCCCGTTGCCCTCCCAGCTTCTGGACTCCAGCAGGCCTCTCTCAATCTGTCAGACCCCGAGCCCCGAAAAAGGACCTGCCGAGGAGAGGCAAGTGACCGTTCGCATCTGATGGACAGTGGTCCCACCGGGAGGCACACAGGGTGACATCTGGGCTCCGAACATGTCTAGAGAAGCAAGTCACTGATTTCTGCACACCGGAAAAGTTACCTGAGAGTGTATATTTATAGAAAGATACATCGAAACGGACAGATGGCTCCTAGCTATAGATACACGAAGCTCTGTTGGAGAACCACGAAGGTAGGTATATATTTGCCAACGGTAGAGAACATGAGGTTTCCACATCTTCGGTCACAACCGACAACACACAAATGCCCGATCTGGGAAAACCACACTTGCTTTTGTGGTTGGGTTCCCTCTCCAGAGGTTTCCAAAATGAGAAGGCTGGTTTCAGGGGCAGTCTTTAAATATGTGTGTGTGTGTGTATCTTTCTAAAGAAGAGAGAACAAGGCAAGGGAGGAGGAGAAGCGTATTTTCATGTGGTGCATGGCAGAAAAGATGGGACTGGTTTGGGGCGAGGACGTGATCCCGCTGGAGGGAAGGGAGAGGGAACTCCAGAAAGGACAGCTAGGGTTTCTAGGTTGGGACATAAAACACAACAGCCAGGAAGGTCACGCGTCCGCGGTCCGCTGAAATCCCTTGTAGCACATTACAATCAGTTAAGGGCAAAAGAAAATCAGAATAATACTAAGAGGTAGCAGCTGTTTATCTTCTCGGAGATTTCGAGGGTCTCTGGAAGCGGGCCAGGTAAGGGTGTTCTCCTGCAAGAGACTGGGGTAGGGCACAGTTCTGGCCGAGGGCTCCCCAAGAGCCGGGAAGGGTGTGGACCAGCCTGCATGGAAACTGCCCCTCGGGAGCCCGAGCCAGCCTCCACCCTCAACAGGCCACTTCCAAACCCAGAGTCATTTTCTTGGGTAAGTTATGCAGTCCTCACAACATATAAATAAAAGTTTAGTTCTGTGTTTCCATATATCTTCTACATGGAGGCTAGCTGAATATTAGTGGAGTAACAATAATTATTAATAACAATAATCGTCATAATAACAATAATTAATAGAATAATAATGCCTTGGGGGGCCTGGGGAAGGGGGGGGTCCTTCATATGGCCGGGGTGGGGGCTTCCGGGGAGGGGCCTATGTCTGGTAAAAGTGGTGGTAATGGTGGTGGTGTTCGTGGTGGTGGTGATGTTCGTGTCTCTGGACCGCCTGGCCGGCCGGGCTCTCATACACCACCACGGCCGGCAGGTCCCTCACACGGTCCCTCCCCACGACACTGCCGCCCACGGCCAGGGGTGCCTGCAGACCCCGGCAGCCCTGCTGGCTCTCCTTGGCTCGGTGCTTGTGCTTCTTGGGCCCGAGGGGTGGCAGCGGGGGGAGGAGGGCGGGGCTGGCGGCCAAGTGGGCGGCTGGGGACACGGCAGGGACGGCGGGGCCCGGAGGGGCTTTGCTTCGTGCCCCTCTGGCCACGTGGCCCACACCCACGCTCTTGCCCTGGGCCTTGGGGGACCTCACAAAGTGCTTGCTCCCGTCCTGGGCGCCCCGGAGCCGCTGCTGGACCTCCGAGACCTTGGCGAATGGGGTGTCAAGGAAGTGGAAGGAGCCCGGCTCCGCGCCTTGGGGCTTTCGGTGTGGGACGTGGATGGCTTCTGGCTCATGGGAGCGAGACCGAGTGGGGTTGGAGGTGCGGGGGGGCAGCTCTGACTTCTGGGCCACTGATGGGGAGCCTAGGAACCAATTTAACAGATATTTAATGAGCACCTACTATGTGCCGGGGCTGCCCTGTGCCCCAGAAACCCCCTCCAGCCTCTGTGCTCCAAGACTGGTAACTGTTCTGAGAGCTCCCCTCCCCGCCCTGACGGCTCCTCGCTGCCTTGGAGGAACCTCTCTGGAATGGAACTTGGCCATCTGCAAAGGGGGAAGATCTGTTGCTTTGTTAGGTCCTTAAAAATGAGTAACTCCCGGGGCGCCTGGGTGGCTCAGTTGGTTAAGCGACTGCCTTCGGCTCAGGTCAGGATCCTGGAGTCCCGGGATAGAGCCCCGCATCGGGCTCCCTGCTCAGCGGGGAGTCTGCTTCTCCCTCTGACCCTCTCCCCTCTCATGTGCTCTCTGTCTCTCATTCTCTCTCTCTCTCAAATAAATAAATAAAATTAAAAAAAAAAAAGAGTAACTCCCCTTCCGAGAGAGAAGAGAAAGAGAGAGACACTGGTAGCTGTCTTAGGTCATGGGAACAGAAAGAAATGGACAAGCATATTCTTTTAACTTATGGAGGTGACCCAACAGGGATTACACACAGAAGGAGGAAGGGGAGAAAGGAGTTGGGGGTGTGAAATTAAGTGGGCTACCTCTTCATTTATCTTAGCAGGGGGTCAACACATGTCAACAGCTGATGAAGAGGGAGCAGCATTTTGCTCGTGGAACAGGGGAGAGGGCGGGAGTGGCCTGGGGCGGGGCACAGAGCCACTGTTTCCATTGCACGACAGGCCCTGAGATACTATTTGATTTCGTTCAACTTGGGGCATGTGTTCGTTTTTAAAACGTTTTTAATGTCGTCTCCTCCAAGAAGACTCTTTAACCCATCCAGTAAAAGCTGCACCTTCCCCCAGCCCAGGGGGGTGTAAGGAGCGCCACCCGGCACGGCCTCCCCCCCCCCCCCGACCCCAGCCCTCCCCTCGCCCTGCTTCACGGGTGGCAAGAGCTCCCTTACCGGGCCCAAACTGGGACGTGTAGTTCTCTATGCCGGCGAGGTCTAAGTAGTGGTTTCTCCTCTCAATGTTCTCATCCACACAATGGGGGTAGCAGCCGGACTGTTCCAGACGGCTGTCACCCTGGAACCTAGGGCAAGAAGGCCAGTGAGCGGGTGGGCACCGGCCCTCAGTGGGGTTAGCCCCACGGCCTCCTGGGAAGTCACTGGGACGAATCCTTCTGGACCCTTCATTCATCTCCTTCTGGGTCTTGGGAAGGGGTGGGAAGGGGTGGGGAGGGGAGGGAGCGGTCATCTTGGCAATCTGTGTGTCTAGTTCCCTCCATGGCAGTGGAGACGTAGACGTCTGTTGGCCTCCCTGGGCCTTCTGGGAGGACTGGAGAGGCATTTACTTTGAACAGGTCCAAAGTAAAGGTGAAGGGTTACTGGTCAAAACTTAAGGAAGCCCAAAAGTCAGGCTTTGAACCATATGCGCCCTGGGCAGACAGGAGACCTCACCCCTGGGTTGGTTTCCCAGACAGCGTGGGCAGCAGAAGCCCCCAAGCCACTGGAGTTGAGGGGGGCAGGCTCTGTAAGCCAAGAATGGAGTGTGTGTGTGTGTGTGTGTGTGTGTGTGTGTGTGTGTGTGTGTGTCAGGAGGGGGTGGGGAGAGAGGTGCCCCCAGAGGCCACCTTTCTCCCACTGCAGGAGTCTGGGCTCCCTGCCTCTCCCCTGCAGGGCTCTCTGAGCTCCAGCCCCACCCCTCTCATCCCCCCCCCCCCCCCACCCCACCAGCCCGCCGCCCGTGTGCCCCACCCCACACCAAGCTGTGGCCCCTGATGGGACTGCCTTCAGGCTTTCCCTTCTGGGCGGGTGCCTGTCCCAATCCGGTGACTTCCTTTCGGTTCCCCCGGGGCAGGTACGGCCATCCGGCCCCTGACTTCCGGCCACAGATGCCTCCTACATCCTCACACCTCCTACACTGCTGTTACTTTATATTCCGGTTTACTCGATGCTTTTCTTTAAACACGCTCTCTCTTCGCTTCCCTCCTTCCTTTCCTTCCCTCCCTGCAGTTAAACAAATAACAGGTGGAAGAGAATCGCAGCCTTACAATCCCTTAGCCACAATTCTGAAATGCAAAAAGCATGAAGACAAAGATTTTTCATAACTTCTTTGGCAGCCGAGCCTGCCCTAAGCGGATGTAAAGGGAACTATAGCCTTTATATCACTTCGTGTGGATATTCATACGTGTCAGTGCAGAAATTTCAGCGTGTGAAATCCCAGGGTGCTGCCCAGATGCCAAGTAGAATATATGAGAAATGTGTTGGAACATCTCTTCTAAAACCCAACGAATGCTGAATTTCAAAACATTTCTGGCGCACAGCGTTTTGGACAAAGGAATGTGGACCTACATTTAGTCATTTTCTAAAAATGGAGTTTGATTTGTGAGCCTGTCCTCTGAAATTACTGCCCCCTGAAGAGAAAACAGACTGGAGCCCCCTGCTCAAAATCCCTCAGATGCAGGTACACAGCTGGTGCTCAATATGTGCTCAGGGACACTGGGCTGTCGTCCACCCCCCCCACACACACACACATACCCACTGTACCTGAGTGGGGCTCGCTGCTTCTTCTCCCAGCTTCGCAGCTCCTCGGCAGGCTTGGTCTCCGCTCTGGGCCTTATGCTCTGCAGGTCTGAGTCCCACCCGAGAAACAGCCAGGTGAGTGGCTTATACCTGTGCCCGCCAGCTTCCTGGCTCCGGTGAGGTTTTCTAAGCTCCCCTGCATGCAACCCTTGACAACTGGCCCACGGCGGCTCACCATGGCTCTGTGGGAAGGGTTCTCCAAGCCAGGACCAGACAGAGGGGGCTCACAGCTACCTGGCCCCTTACCTTCTCCCCCCCAGACTCCCCTCCCCCGCAGACTCCTCAGCTGGCCACGTCCCCGCCCACCTCCAAGGCTGTGCCTACACAGGGCCTCCCACCTGTAATTCCTTTCTTATCCAAATCCTGCTCTTTCAAGGACCTGCTCAAATTCCACCTGTCCACAAAGTCGCTCCCAGGAAAAGACCCCAGGGCTCCTTTCCACTCTTCCCAGGGCAGGGTGTGATCCTTCCTGAGAGCTGGGAGTGGACTGGGCTCTGTGGCTGGGGGGGGGGGCAGCCCCTCACCAGGGTGATTGAGAAGGATGCCCTTCTTGCCCTGGCTTCCGTCCGGGGCCACCGTGAGCTTCACCCGCAGCGTCTTGCTTGACGTCGGGGAATGGTTGACGGAGGAGTCAACCACCTCGTAGATGGTGTGCAGCAGGCTGGTGATGTCCTGCAGGGGAGCGAAGCAGAGAGCCACCCGGGGCTTCAGCCACAAGGGCATCCACACACAGCCCGGGGAATCAGAGGCCCTGGTGAAACCTGAGGAAGGGAAAGCCCCCTGGCTCCCCCAGAAGTCAAGCCTAAGGCAGAAACGTGCATATGAGGTTCATTTGGGAGGGGATCCTAGAACGCAGGAGCAAAGGGGCAGGAGCGGGCGATGATGTGAGTGAGTGGGTCCAGCCACGGGCAACCGGCCTCAGTCGCGCTTGGGTCCTCGGAGGGACTGTGTGGACCGCCCCCTCACAAGAGTCTCATCCCTCCGGGGTAGAGTTGCCCTGGGGGTTGAGGCTACACTGCCGGGACTTCTGGGCTGTCCTGCAAAGGCTGAGCCAGCCCCCACTTGGGAGACAGCTCTTGCGGTGGGCGCTGTCCCCCAGCAGCAGGTGAACTGAGAGGCAGGTCAGGGAGACTGCTGGGAGAGGGGCACTGACAGCACCTACTTCGGGTCTGATGAGCTCCTTCTGAGTGCAAAATGGAAAACTAGATGTGTCGCTAAAGATAAACTGTTCTGTGAGAACTTGACCCAATCTCATCTTCTCTCTGGGCCTCAGTTATGCCCTCAAGCAGAACAGAGATGTCCAACCCATACTCCGTGAAGTGTCTCAGAGACTTCTGACCAGGGAATGGAGGGATAAAATATGGAGGGATGCAGGGGAGGCTTCCAGGTTTAAATGATGAAGCCTCTGGAAAAGGTATTGGCTCTCTATAGGTCGGGCCCACAGATGGCCACTTATCTGCCCTGTGGCTCTTCATAAACAGACAGACTCAGCCCTCACCTTATTCCCCACCCCTAAGCCGTTCAGACAGAGGTGACAGAGGTGACACGAAGCACTACCACGGCCAGGCAGGTATATGGATGACTGACCCGGAGTGGGGAACCCACAGAGGTGGCACCCACTCGGCACCGCTGACTAGCGCCATGGCAGCGCTGGCTAAGGGAGGGTCATTCCAGAAATCCAGAATCTTCTGCTAAATCTTCAGAATCTCTGATACTGGAAACTCTTTTTAATTTTTGTCAACTCCCCATTTTCCCATCTCCCCAGCCCCTGGTGACCACCATTCCACTTTCTGACTCTATGAATCTGACTCTTCCAGGTATCTCATAGAAGTGGAATCACGGGGGATTGGCCTTTTTGTGACCAGCTTGCTGCACTTTGCGCGAGGTCCCGGGGGCCCATCCCTATTGTGGCACCTGGTAGAATTTCCTCTCTTTTTTAAGGCTAAATAATACTGCATTATATGTTTATCCACTCCTCTGCTGCGGGAAGCCAGGGACACTTGGGTGGCTTCCACCTTTTGGCTTTTGGGAAAAATGCTGCTGTGGGCCTGGGGGTCCAAGTGTCTCCTTGAGACCCTGCTTTGGGCTACAGAGACTCAGAAGTAGAATTGCTGGGTCATACGGGAATTCTCTGTTTAGCTTTCTGAGGACCTTCCACAGCAGCCGTGCCATCTGAACATTCCGCCCACAGCACACAGGGGTTCTGCTGTTGTCGCTTCCTCGGGGACACTCGTCATTGTCGGTCTGTTGGGGAATTTTTATGGTAGCCATCCTAACGCATATAAGGTGAGATCCCCCTTTGGTTTTGATTTGCATCTCCTAATGATGAGTGATGTTGAGCACTTTTTCGTGGGCTTCTTGGCCATTAATTTGTATCTCTTCTTTGGAGAAATGATCAAGTTCTTTGCCCATTTTTTAATTGGGTTGTTGGTTTTCCTGCTGTGGAGGTGCAGTTCTTTTTATATTCTGTATGTTAATCTTTTATCAGATACGTGATTTGCAAATATTTTCTCTCATTCTGTAGGTTGCCTTCCACTCTGCTGTGTCCTTTGATGCATATTAGTTTTGAATTTTGATGTAGTCCATTCATCTATTTTTACTTCGGTTGCCTGTGATAACTTAATTTTTAACAAAACCTTCCGGGGGACCGGGCCAGAACATCTCGGGGCTACATTGGGATTGTGAAGGCTTCCGGTTTGAGACCCAGGCTCGCTGGCTCACTCAGCAATCTCCGCCCCTCTGGCCAGGCCCGCAGAGGATTCCTCTTCTCGCCCCTTCTTCCCTTGACCTGCTCTGCATACCCACGTTTGCCCCCGCCCTCTTAGGAAGTCCATGCAGGAAGCATCAGTGTCTCCATTTTACAGATGAGGAAGGTGGGGTCCACCAACATCATCCCCCAAGTGTCCTATCCCAAGCCAGGGGTGGGGGCCAGTGACTCGGGGTCTAGGAACAGGCCTGCTCTGGCAATCCCAGCTGAAAAACCCGACTCTCGCCTGAACAGGGCCCAGCACACAGAAGTAGGTGCCCGTGAATATTTATTGCACAAATGAACAGGTACTTTCTTCTGAGTGGGGAAGGGAGCCCAGACGCCAGCTCTGGGCCGTAGCTGCAGTGAGGTGGGAGCCTGTCTGTCTGCCCCAGCGCACAGAAACATGCCTGCAGACAGGCAGAGAGCATGGAGGGGACCCGTATTTATAGCCAGCTTTGAGGAGTGGCCTTGGGGCTAAAAATAGACCAAGGGGAAACACGAGGCTGGGTTCTCCCTGGACTGGAAGCCAGCCCCCTAGCTCCTCGGCAGGAGGAAGACACGATCCAGGGATGGCCTTCTCTAGGCCGGGCGGGGGCACCTTCCTCGGGAACCCTCACCTCCCTGCTCTTCCTCTCATTACCGAGGGTAAAGAAAGGCAAGACGCAGAGCCAGACGGCAGTGTCTGCCCACGGGTTTCTGCAAGGCCTCCGAGGTGGGGGGCCAACCCTCTTATGGTCATCATCTCCGAACCAGCAAGGAATGAAGGCGGTGGCTAGCAGGGGCAGCGGCGTCTTGGCCGCCACACAAGTCAGAAGAGAGGGCAATACCACCCGGTGCACCCCCCGAGAAGCCCAGCCCGGCTTGAGAGAGACAGCTGGGGGCCACCGCCATTCAGCTCAGTTAACCAAGCTTCCAGACTGCAGTGTGGTTCCCCGTGAAGATAATTACACTGCAGCGGCCATTCCCAAACAGGATGGGGAGGAACGGTGGCCGCTCACTCCACACGAAGCATCACAGCTGGAGGGGGCTGGGGGTTCACCTAAACCATGCCCCCCCCGTCGGCCTCCCCAACATCTCCAACCAAGAAGGGTTTCCACTGCTTCCCAAGTACCCAGGCCCCTCTTGGGGCTTTGCCTGCCCGGAACCCGTTCCCCTGCCCCCTAATAACTGCAGTAGCTCCGACCAGGTCCTGCCCCTGCTTGATTTTACATTGTGAGCCGATTACACGCCCCCTCTCACTTGTAGTATTCGTGGCTCACGTACCTGGTAACTTCCCCTCGGCTCCAAGACCCAGAATAGGGCCATCTCGAGCATCGCAAACCCATGGCAAAAATGACTGGGTCGGGGCCACTCGTGTGAGGGGGTCGGAGCCAGTGAGAATCAGTTCTGGAACTTCCGAACTGGGAGGGCTGCTGAGAGTCCCGGATAGAGGGAAAATGTCAGCCATCGCCTTGCTACTGGCCAGGGGCAAGGCTGCTGAGCAATGGAGGAACACAGAGGAAACAGAGCCACTGAGGGTAGCTAGTCTTGAAGGCACTGAGCCTCTGGATCCAGCCATGCCTGAAGTCAGTGCCCTGGACCACATTTTAGTTATGTGAATCAATATGTTCCTTTTTTTTTTTTTTTGGAACCTATAACAGTTTGCTGGGATTCTGTCACTTACCTCCCCAAGAGCCCTGCATGACTATAAGTCACTCACAGTTTCTTCCCCAGCCCTGTTCGAATATTCCTTAAAGCCACGGCCTGAGGAAGAGATACCCTTTTTATTCACCCTGGCGTCCCCTCTGACAGCTTCTCCTGCACGAGCCACAGAAAAGAAAATCTGTAGCTCTGAACCAGGCAGGGAGAGAAGACAGCAAAGCTTCTCTGGGGACACCCCGGACGCCCTCGTGAGCTGGACGTGAGGCGGGCGTGGAGCCAGCCATGCTGCTCTCAGACCCCTATGCAGTCCGGCAGCAGGTCCCACATCTGAAAACCAGGGCCTCCTGGGGAGGGAGAGGATGTCGCAGAGGGACGGTGGGAAAAGCGACGAGGAGGCAGAAGGGGTGGCACCCAGGCCCAGGGTGAAAGGGAGGCAGAGACTGCAGTAGCTCCAACCAGGTCCTGCCCCTGCTTCCCCTAACCCACCGGTGGCTTCCCTGAGCCCCAGGACCCCAAGCCAGGGCCTGCCACACGGGTCTCCTCCAGCACCTTCGACACCCCGAGCACTCCTGCTCTGCACCTGCCAGGCCCCTCTCCCCCAGCTCCGCACAGCCACACTCCCCTGGGAGGTTCCCTAGACACACGGGCCCCTCTCTGTCGCACTATTGACCCCTTTCAAACCTCCCAACCGTCCTGTAACTGGGACCGACCTCCCTCAGCGGCTGTCAGAACCACAGGCTGGGAGCTGTGTCTGAACTGTCCGTCCCCTCGCCCCCACAGCTGGGGCATGGCGGGTGCGCACAGTGGGTGCTCAGTATCCAGACAGAGATGTGGAACAAGGGTGAGAGGCAGGCAGCGGGGACAGAGGTGTGGCAGGAGGGCTGAGGGCAGAGACGCCGGCGTTCGCGGGGACAAGGGCAGTGAAAGCCCAGGCCCGTGGCCAGGCCAGGCGTAGAGCTCTCGGTGCTGGGGCTCATTCCTGCCCTGGCAGAGGGAGGCACTGCCTGGCCTCCGTGTGCCCACCCGGCCCCAGCTCCTGGGCACACTGGCTGAGAAGGGAAGCGGCCTGGGATGGTCGCAGCCCCTGCCCCAGCCAGAGCTCTGGGACTCGAGGGAGGAGGCAGGATGGGACGTTGTTGGGACTCAGGGTCCTCCTCTGGGGAGCCCTCAGGGCTCCGTGCCTGCCTCCCGCCCTTCCCCTCCCCCCCCGGGGGGGGCAGTGCCTAGGCTGAGTGCAGGGGAGCCCGGCCGCCCCGTCCTCTGTCCCCGCTGCCCACTCACCAGGCAGCTCTGGGACAGCCCTCCAGGTCTCCCTGAAGCCCCGGCGGCCCGGCAGGTGCACTCACCTCACGGGTGACCTTGCCATTGTTGTCAAAGTCGTACAGGGTGAAGGTCCACTCCTGCCGGCTGTCCTCTTCTACGGACACATCACACTGTAGCTCCTGGACACAGACAGACAACCACGGACGTGGCTGGAGTACCCAGAGGCCAGGTCACGGGGCGGCTGCCTCCCCCCTGCCCTCCCCAGACCTTGTGTGAAGGAAGAGCACAATGACCATGACATGAGGGGCCAGGTGGGCAGGCCAGGCCGGGCAGGGGAGGTCTGGCCCAGGGAGAGATGGCTGCGGGGGTGCCAGACAGCCTCTGGGTCTTTGAAGGCAAAGGAAACACGGGGCGGGGAGGGGGGCGTGAGCTGGGGGTCTGAGAGGAGGCTTCGTGGCCTCAGGGAGACGGAACCTGGACCAAGGGACAGAAGTTACTGGAAGACACGGGGACCAGTAACGGGAAGCTATTACAGGATGCCCACGGTGGTCACCTGACCTGGAAGGCAGGAGACGGTAAGCGAGCACGAAAAGGTAAAGCCCCAGCTCAGCCCCGGGTGCCAGCAGGTACATGCCCTCCATGGCTGTGTGACCCTGGGCGTGGCTTCTCTGTACCTCAGTTTCCCCTCATGTAAATTATGGGAAAGGCCAGTACTGATCTCACGAGGCTGATGGGAGCCTGAAGCACCCCACCCCACATCCCCTCGGCGTTCCCGGGCAGCTGTGATGGACGGTTCCCAACCTCCCACCTCAAGCAGCCAGCTTCTGTGTCCGGGGAAGACCTGAAGAGCCAGGGATTGAGTGCCCGGGGCAGCGTGAGGCATTCGGCACGGCCCCAGCTGCTCTGGCAGCGATCCACCCATTCACCCACTGGTATTGGCTTCCCTCCTTTGCTGCTCCCTGGGATCACCTGCCAAGTCCTTGCCTCAGGCTCTGCAACGGGGGAACTGGAAAAAGCGTGGAACTGTTTGGCACCTAGAGAAGTCCAATTAATGATAGTAGCTGCCATTGTCTTTGCTGTAATGTTAACATATGATGCACGTAATGTTAACAATGACTTCATTATCATCACTCACAGGACCCGACGTGTCTAACCACAGGCACCCGAGCTGGGCAGTGATGAGCTCTGATCCTGGCAGTGTGTATGCAGGAGCCAGCTGAACACCAGATAGAAAGTTCGAGAAAGGCTGGCTGGTTTGGCAAAGAGGGTCACAAGATTCTATGAAAACAAGCAAAGACGCTCCCAGGCCATTCTGCTCCACGTCTTGCATCAGCTGCCCTCTCCTTTTGCAGGAAGACGGGCTCAGGCCCCCAGAGAGGAGTGGTACCTGGCCTCTGAACGCCAGCAGGGATGTGCCCGAGCGCGGCGTCCCTGCCCCCAGCCTCTGCAGCTCGAAGCCAGTTCCCTCCAGCAGTCCTTGGGCGGCCCACGCGGAGTTCAAAGTCAGCCTTCCCTCAGTTGTGACATGCCCGTCTGATACCTGCCAAGTGCCCGTTCTGCTCTGTGAGGCACCGTTTCATGTAGCACAGCGCTCGCCCCGCACACGTGCCGCGCCCCCCCCCCCCCCCCCCCCACACACTCACACTCACACAGCGTTTATCTGATTCCTTCTCCTTGGCCTTCCTGCGCGGCTCCAAAGACAGCTCGGGGTTCAGTAACTATCCCCCCTCGACTTCTGTCATATATGTCTTTGTTCCCCCATCCCCCCACCACCTGGGCTTCTCAGGTGAGTCCTCCCCATGGGCCATGGATGAGTCCCGGGCAGTGAGCCGGGCCCTCTCCAGAAATCGGCCCACTCGGGCCTCCAGGGAAGTGAGACATCTCGGTCTGAGCCTTCCCTCTGCCGCTGCACTCAGCCCTCGGCTCTGCCAACCACCCCAGAAGACACGCAGGGACGCCAGCGGGCTCTGGGAAGCAGCTAGCAACCCCAGCTCCCCAACGGGATGCTGCCCGCCCCCCTCAGCTCCTGCATTCAGGGCCCACTGTGACCCGTCTCACACCCTGTCCCGAGTCATCTCCCCAGACCACCCGCCATCACTACGCAACACGATGCAGCTTTGTTTCCACACAGCTTGTGGCGCCGACAGGCCTCTGGGCCTTTGCTCCTGCCGTTCCCTTGGCCAAAAGTGCTCTCCTTATCCCAGGGGCTCCGTGTCCTCACCTCTCCCAACTCCTGCTCCTGCACTCAGAGGTTCAACTCAGACCCGCATCCGCCCCACCCTCTGCTTACAGCCACCGCCCTGCACAGGGTCGGGAACTGCCTCCAGACCCTGCGCTCCTCCAGCCTGACCGAGGCGGCCGCCCCTCCGCGTGCTCCCGGACCCCCATCCCATCCCCGACTGTGCAGTTACTGGGTCTAGGTCACTCTCTTGTCCCCCTGAGCTCTGGCAGGTCCCCCTGACCACACCGTGCTCCGGGAGGGCAGGACCATGCCCCGTTCACTGTGGGGTCCCCTGGTAACCAGCAGGTGTCAACCAAGCTTGGTTGGAAGGAAGAAGAGAAGTGCCGACGTGATAGTGGACACCCTTGGAAGCATGTTAGGTGCATTAACTCACCAGGCCTACAATAAATACCCCGACAAGAAAGAGACTGAAACTACCCGCATTTCCCAGGGGAGGCCAGTGGGGATGGGAACCCTAGGCTGCTGGCTCCAGAGCTATGGCCTAGTGGCCTCAGGGAGGGAAGCAGAGAAGGAAGAGGGGAGAGAAGCCGGTAAGCTCCGTGCCGACAGGCCCCGGTTCCGCTCTCCGGCACCCGGCCCTGCTTGGTACACGGAAGGAGCTTCACGTACTGTTTGGGATGGGGCAGGACAGACAGACTGCAAGCTCTAGGACGACGTGTTCCTCTAGCTGTTGACCACATGGGGAAACTGAGTCCCAGATAGGGCCGGGGACCTGCCCAAGGCCTCCTGCCCCCCTGCATCTGGCCCACTCGAGAGCCCCGCATGTTCCCCAGAACAGCCCCAAAAGTCGAATCAAAGGCTTCTTCCAGTCATGAGGAAACCGAGGCCCAGAGGGAAGGCAGACCCCTGGTACAGTAATGGCAGCGCCAGGGCCAGCCGTCCCCCCGGCCCCCCCCCCTCACGTCCTCCCCGAGACCGCCGGGCCGCAGCCCAGTGGGATGGCGGTGCTGAGTCCTCAGGGCCCACGTGGAGCTGGGGCAGCTCCAGCCGTGGCAGGACAAACCTCCCACAAAGGGCAGCTGTTCACACAGGAGGTGAAAGGCCTCTGCGTCTGGACGGGCCTCAGCTCCCCTCCTCGAAAAGCACCGCCAAGAGGATAGAAGCCCTACTCTCCAGAGCCCAGTGCCAGGAAAGGGAACTTACTTCAAATTTCAGCTGCTTCTTGGAGCCCGGGCAAGATTCGCTCGCCTTCTCTCTCCTCTTCTCGTCTCCGCTGGCCAGCCCGTCTGTCTTCTCGGGAGGCAGGGCCACTGCAGGGAGGGCAGGTGAGACAGCGTGAGGACCGTCCCCAGCTGGGCCTCGGGGCCACCGCACCCACTGGGGCTTTGGTCTGGGGGCTGGGCCCCTTCCTGCCCTGCCCGTGTGCTAAAGTCAAAATCACTTGGCTCCCCGGCCTCGGGTAATGTCCGGGGCTGCCCGAAGGGAGCCCCCCTCCCAGGTCACCTGTGCCGGCCACTCGGATGACCCCAGGGCGCCTCAGGGCCGCCATTCTCCGTCCCAACTATACAGCCCAGATAAGCAGCCTGCAGCCAGCCAGACCAGAGGCAGGTGGACAGGAAGCTCATAGACTGTGGCCACTTTCCACACGGTCTCACTGCCTTCCCTGCTGACATTTTGGCCTCGAAGGTGCTGCCGGCCCGGGCCCAGGCAACCGCATGCCGGATGGGCGGTCAGGAAGACTGAGGGAAACTGGAGGCACGGGGCCTCCCTCAGGCGGCCCGAGGGGCAGCCTCAGTCTCCGCTTGGGTCCTCCTGACACTATGTGTGACCCAGGGTGGGTCGTGTACCTTCTCCAGACATCTCGATGGTTTCCCCAGCTGTACAACAGGGACCAGAGCCGTCGCCCTCCCCAGAGGATCCTTGGGCGGATTCACTGAGCTAGGACTGAAAAGGCCAAGAGCCCAGGGTCCCAGCGGCTGCGACTAGTTACGGTCAAGGGGACTAAGTCCTCTCCTCCCCCCGCCACCCCAACTCAATCTCTCGGGAATCAGCACGGTTGGTAGCTTAGCTAAGTTTTCTCAAAATGGAGGCTTTGGGAATGCAAAAGGACCCAAAAGCATCATACCGAACACAGGCAGCCCGGGATGGAACAGGACATGGAGGGAGGAGCTGAAGACAAGGGTGCTCGGGTCACCAGTCCAGACAGGAGGGGACAGGGAGGCCGCGGCAGCAACAGACTGACCTGGCTCCATCCACAGCTCCCCTCCCAGCGGGGCCTGAGTATTCCCTTCTTTCTCTTCACTCCGGGTACACCCAGAGGGATTCAGGGGGACCCCCCCCCAGGGCCTGCAATGCCCCCACAGCAAGGCAACAACTCCCTAGAGCTGTCAGGGGTCCAGCGGGAGACCCTGTCTCAGCCCCAGATCCCAGCTCCCTCCTGGTGCTTTCACAGAATGAGGCTGATAAGGACAAACCCAAAAGGAGATCCAGCTCCTTGGAGGCCTCCAGGGCAGGGGGCCAGGTGGGGGGGGGGGGGGGTGGGGCCTTGAGGGCGGCGGGGGGAGGTGACTGACGCTGACGGCTTCTGATCTAGTGGATAAAACCAGGTCCTGCCCTCCCTGCTCCTCCAAAGCAAACACCACCACAGCCAGGCGGCACACCAGCCCAGTGCAATGCTGAGTCCTGGGGCAGTCAAGCCGGCAATTAGCCAGTGACCCAAGGACAGCCGAGCACACGGCCTGGGCCACCCTGATTCCCCCACCCCAAATCTGCAGGTCCTGCTGGGCCCGAGCATCCGCCATCGTGGGACCAGCCGGGGTGCAAGGCAAAGCGCTTGACCAGGCCACAAAGCAGTAGGCACTATGGCCACCCCCACTTAGAAAAAGGCAAAAAGCTCCAGAGAGGCTCGTCAGAGCGAGTCAGGGAGCGGAGTCCCTCTCCATTCCTAGCCCTCAGCTCTAGGAGCCCCCACCATCTCCGGTGGGTGCAGCTGAGCTCGGCGGGAGTGTCCCGATGAGAGGACTGATCCTCTGGGTCCGTATCCCTACCCTGCTACTGACTGGCCTGGGCAACGTTGGGTAAGGTTCTGGACTTCTCAGGATCTCAGTCCCCTCGTGTGGAAAATGGGGATGAAATGGTTTCTTCCTCACAGGGTTACTGGGGTGGGTGGGGGGAGGCAACGAGGAAAGTGCCTCCTTAGCACAGTGACCTGCATGCAATAGGTGCTCAGTAAAAGCTTGGCTTTGCAAAAGATGGAGAGGAGCCATGGTCCCAGCCGATAGCCCAGATCGAGAGGATCCCCCTCACCCCAAAACTGCCCCACTGGAGAAACCATGGTGCTCTTCTGGCCGGCAACATCCTCCAGTCGGCCCCCCCATGGGGGTTGAGGGGGGAGAAGAAAGGAAAACAAAGCCAAGCTCCATCTTCAAAGCTGCAGCCTCCCTCCACAGAGGTCCTGGCTGGAGATGTAAGCCAGCCAGGCTTATCGAAACCAAACTTCAAGTTCAAAGAGAAGTTATCAGAAAACCACCTTCAGGTTCAACATTGCCTTTCAAGTTCCACTTGATAAAACCCAAAGAAAAGAAAGCTCCGTCCCTGCTCCCTCCTTCTCTGGAGCACCCCTCCCCACATGCAGGCCCTCCCTGCCTCCCCTCCTTCCTCCTCACCGACCGGAGTAGAAAACGCCCCCCTCGACCGCTCACCCTCTTCCTGTATCTTCTCTAAAGACCAGAGCGGTCTGGATTGCCTTCTCTTCTCCAAGGGGTCCCTCATCCCATCCCAGCTCAGAAAACCCCCATCACTGGGCTCGTGGGCAGGCACAAGAAGGGTAAAGGGTACCCACTTCGGGCCGCCAAGGCCCCACCAACCAGCAAAGAGAATGGCATTTTTGTCGAGATGGGCTTTGGCACCAAATTCTGAGCCCATTCTCTCTCTCCTACTCCTGCTCAGCCCAGAGATTTTTTTTTCCCCCAGAGATGATCTTCTGGGGGGGGGTGCATAATTTCAGAGGGACTCTGATCATTCTTTAATCACTCACAGTAACAACAGGAGATACCGCTAACTTGAAAGAAGAAAGGAAAGCTGGAGGAAGAGTAGAAAAAGGAAGGGAAGGGTTGGGGTAAGGAGGGAAGAAAAGTCTTCATGTTCAAAGACTCGTATTCTGGGTTTATAGCCTATGTTGCTATCATACCTTTAGATGTGACACACCCGTAGACGACTTAGAACAGCCAGCCCACCCACCACCTGTTTTTGTAAATAAAGTTTTACTGGGACACATTCACGTTCATATGCACTGTGTATGGCTGCTTCGCTCTATGATGGCAAAGTTCAGCAATCACAACAGAGACTATATGGCCTGCAAAGCCTTAAAGTTATACTCTCCTGGTCCTTTATAGAAAAGTTTATGAACTGCACTTAGGTACCCTTCCCACCAGGGTACCCTGATAAGCAGGGTGCAGGCTAGATTTCACCTGCTGCTCGCCTGCTTACCTGGAAACTTGTGCAGTACACAACCTGCCCAACCATACACAGTAGGCATGGAAGAAAGAAAATGTCAACTCTGATTTCTTCAAAACCAATTCTCAGCTCAGATGAGTCTGGGGGTGGTGTGCGAAGCTCCTTCTCTTTGGAAACTGCTCCCTGTCCCTTCTCACACCATGGCTGCGAGAAGCCTGCTGGCTGTGTTTACCAGATGATGGCTCTCTCCCACATTAGCTCCCAACCTGGCATCTCTCCACCCCCAGCAACTGCCAGATTAAATGCATTACTTGACCATCTTCACCCGGCTCCCTTTGATGTTCCCTTCTCAAGCTTCAAAATACCTTTTGGAGGGAGATCAGACAGCATTAAACAGAATTACTAATTAATTAAGCAAAGTTAAATTTTAAACACTGTTTGTTGTGTTAGCCAAAAGCCTGAACAGAACAGACTTTTTTTCCTCCACTGAGATCAAAGACAGTCTCTTCCCTGTCCCTCCCCCAGTTTAAAAAGAAGAGGGGGCTGGGGAGAAAGAGAGGGAAAGAAGAGCGTACAGAGGAGCATGAGGGAGCGAGGAAAGACCCGAGTGGGGATGAGTGGGGATGGTCGGGATGGTCATTGGGGGTGATCATGAGGTCGAGACTCCCAGCCCTCACCCCGCAACCACAGTCCCAATAGGAGGCATCAACAGCTCATTTGGGACCGCATGCTGGGAGAGACCTGGTCACTTCCTCGAGCCTGTTTAGCCTGGCAAATAGCAGTGACCCAGGGAGCAGGACGGCACAGCCTACCCAGCACAAGCTGCTGATAGCTGGCACCACCCAAACAGCATGAGAATCAGCTACAAAATAAAACAGATCTGCCCTCCCGCTGCCCCACCCTCCCTGGCACACAGGCAGAACAGGCACCTCAGGGTTCTTCCCAGGGGGGTGGGGGGGGCGCTTAGGGTCATCTGAGAGACAGGTTGTGCAGTGTACAACTCTAGGCGGCGCCGTTCACAGGCTGGACCTCATACGCTTGTATATCGCCAGTGATATTTTTTGGACAGATGGCAGAAAGGTGTCTTGAGGCCGGCGGGAGGGGGTAGGGGGAAGCTCCTTTCTCTACTTTGCATGAATGCATTTGTTGCGAGCAGAGTGCCGTCTCTCCCCATCCGGCCCAGCACTTCATTCTGCGCAATCTGATCTGGGATCTTCAGATTCCTTCACAGGAGCCTGCCACATCCTGGCGGCCAGACTGCAAGTCCCCTGGGAGCCGGGGTCCTGCCAGCTAGTGCCCCTGGGATGCCCACAGCACATGCACAGGGCAGCCAATCCACCCCAGTGTGCAAAACTGCACCAAACCCCATAGGCAGACACAAGGAAGGCTGCATAACAAACACACCATCAATTCTGGCTTGACTGAGATTGGGAACCGGCGGGGAGAAAGGGGGTGCTTGAAAGAGGTAGGTCTGTTCCCGAATCCTATACTTCGGCTAAAATCCAGACCCTGGATGACGGGAGAAAACGCCAGCTTATTTTAACATAATCTAGAAAGGCCTGGTTGATAATAAACTTAGGAAGTAGGGACAAATTTGAAATCCCGTTATGACTATTATCAGCCCTCCCCCACACCCCAGAGACCAGAAATGACTGACACTCAGACGGGCAGTTCTATCCTCCCGGTTACCTGCCACGTTCTTCTCTGCTGATACGACGTAAGATCTGACACAAGCCAGAGCTTCCTTGCTGGAGTTTGGACACCTGCCCTAAAGTCTCCACTGGCCCTTCTCAATTGTCCACGTGCAGATTATCTGCTGCAAATATTTTAGTCTCGGGGTGGCTCGCCAGGATGT